ATTGCCCCGTCAGGGGCACATTCAATGCAGTCGTGACCGTCCCCGTGTAATGAGGAAGGCCATGTTTTCATATAAATATAATATATGTTTCCCCTCGGGTGAATCAAGCATTGAATAAGTCCAGAGAAAAACTGAAAATTGGCCCGCGTCAAGTTGACGTCATTCACGCATGCACTGAGTCTTGGAGCCTAGGCATAGGGCTACCACCCGCGTCTGGGGTGGCTCGACAGACAACGATCACACAAGCAGTCAGCACAAGGACGTCCACGGGGAATGTAGTGTCACATTGACAAAGCACCTCCATGCAGGTCAGAGACACGACTCGACGGCTTTGTTGACGCGATGTTGTTGCAGATTTGACTCTATTTTGTCACAACCCGACATTTTGGACACCGCCGGTGAAACGGTGCACCTAAGTATAGGCTGAAATGCAGTAAGGTCCTCAGATAGATGCCAACGAACAGCACCACACTAAATCACTAACACACACTACACACACAACACACAACCAATACGAAGTGCGAGATAATTGAGTTCGGGTCACCCTGCAGTATACAGGTAAGATGGAACTTTGTGGGACGGGATCAACTTAAAGAAGGATCAATCAGAACCTCTAGGAGCCTACAGTAGCTTGAAAACCACCAAAAGTGCACAGCTCTGACACAAGGTATCGGAGTTTTAGGTAGATGAAAGCTTGCTCTGGGAACCACAGTAGGTTCGCGAACTGTGCACAGCTACGACCAGCCTACTAAACGTGGCTGATTCCAATAGCGGACACGACTACAACCGTTCTACTAAGGCGGGAACGATTCCAATAGCCCAACTAACGAACTACGACCGGGCCTACTATGCGTGGACGATTCCAATAGAACACTAGCCTGCCTCGTGCAACTTAACAGAGGACTTTCGTGAACTCGCCGTGACCCTCCACGAGACGAGGTTGAAGTGATTGGCTTAGATGATCCTTTAAAGCTTATGGAGCCAACAAAATCAAAGCTTCTGTATTAATGAATCTACACAAGAGAAATGTTTTATATCACAAATCTCCGCACAGATGCAGAGGACACCAACACCTTTGACAGGTGGCTTCGACTTCCGTCTAAGCGCAACCAAGGGGGCAAGGATGAACTAGAAATCCATCTAGAAACACCGAGGGTGAGCTTCTGTAAGGCGGGTTCTACGTGGTCTTTTATATGTTTTCGATAAATACATGACAGATGACTATGAATAAGAAAGAATAAGAGAAAATGAGTAAACTGAGAGCTTCGGAACGGAATAGGAATAGTGACGTGGCCTTCTGGTGGTAGTGGGATAGGTGCCCGGCATCAGACAGTCATCAGAAATGACTTCACAAACCGTTTCAGGTATATTTGAAATGTTTCAGTACAGGCCAAAGGGTTTCGCGACCCGGCCTGCTGCCTTGGCATCCACGTCCCACATCGGCATGGTTGATAATCCACTGCTATGTGTCTGCCCTGCTCTTGTAAGAGCGGTAAATAGCCCATCTGGCCGTTCGCGAACGCGAGGCCCTTTGGCTTCGGCTCAAGAATACTCCGATCACCAATATGCTTCCGCTTTGGCAGTATTTGGTCCTCGTGACCGCATCACGATCATCACATGTAGTCCCCTAGACCCAGGGCTGGCTACTGCTTGCACCAACTCTGTCCAGGCACCAATAGTCGGAGATTCGCAAACATTTAACCTGGTTCGCGAACTTGTTCCTTTGCCCTTTCAGTCATAAGTCCGATGAAAGTGAGGTTCGCGAATATCAATGTTTTCATGAACTCGTTCTGAAGCCCTTCCAGCCATAAGTCTACTGAAAGTGAGGTTCGCGAATATCAATGTTTTCGCGAACTCGTTCTGAAGCCCTTCCAGCCATAAGTCCGATGAAAGTGAGGTTCGCGAATATTAATGTTTGTTCGTGAACTCGTTCTGCAGCCCTCCCGCATGGAAGTGGTGTTCGCGAACTGTTCCCTGCCCTTGTCTGGTGCAGTACAATCCACGAAGGGTGTCAAGGCTTTTGTTATATCTCCTGGGTATGGTATCTAGCCTGCAGGGCAAGCTGTTTCCCAGATCACAAGAAACAACTTTGTCTGACGGAGTTCGCGAACACTTCTAGGATCATGAAGCGGATCCCCCACATTTATAAGGACCACGCTTCTATGTCTCCTCAGTGCGTGCTGACTCCTCTAGCATCATTAATACACAGTCGGCAGTTTGGAGCTCACTCCGGCTCTAATTGTATACCACCGAACAGAGGTTCTTAGAATAGTGCTAAGAATCGCGAAAATGCATGATTACACGGGTGGTTCAAAACCAGTCATATCACCGCCTCCAGCTATGCCGCCACCGCTTGCACGAACCCATTGCTGTCTCCGCCGCCTTCACGAATGACAACACCCTGCCTCCCTTGACTGAATTCGTATGTTTCAAAGCATTGTCGGACGATCTCTCATATGAAACAAACTCTGTACGCACCTTGGTAGCGCCTGACCTCTGTGCCCCGGATATTTTAGGCCTGCCTTTCTTTAAACGAAATTCAATAGTCGTCGATCACGCCGAACGCTGTGATGCAGACTGCGGTGCTTTAAACTGCCAGATGGTGGGAAGATCCGGGCTATATTTATTATTTAATGCTTGTCCTCTAGGGGGAATTTGTTCCATCGCGGTAGACAAGTACGTAGGGAGGTTTAAATAATATTGGTGGGGATATCCGTACAAGGATTCGAACAGTTGGTTCAAAATCCTACTAGCTAGGGTGGTCCGAGCGAACTCCGACGCCTAGTTAGCCTTCTCGGGTTAACGGAGATTGAATCTGTTCTACACTTCCTCGGAGGAGGAGCTTCGGAAGGCGATGCGGGGTCCAATTCGTCAAGTCCAAGGTGAAATATGGATTTAGGGGCTTCCTGGACCACGAACCACAGTCGTCCGAAGTATCTTTGAGTTGTAGATCGTAAGACCGGGGGTTTTTATGTGTTCGCGGTAACGTTCCTGCAATTTCTCCTCCTTTTACCCCTCTTTGTGCCTCTATGGAGTTTCCTCTCTCTACTTCTCACCCGTTCGCTTGCTGAAGGCAACTTCCTGCGGGCTCTGCACCGCCAACTTCCTTAGCTAGCAGCTACACACGAACTCCGAAGACCTCGTTGTGCTGTTTGAGAGATTTCACTGCCCTACTTGCGTAGGGGAGGAATAAACGGTTCGATTTCTCCGGCGCTGAACTTTTTATACCGAAATATAAACTCCGTTCGCTGTCTGACGGCGGCGAGGGAGTACCGGGGTCGCTTTACTTGTGTAAGATGACTCTGGGTGACCTCTAGGTGATGTTCGGGGCGGATATTTAGCTACTCCTAAGCTGGCTAAGGCTTAGAAGGTGAGGATGTGGGCCGAAACTGAGATGATATTTTGGTAGACTAGCTGTAGTATTTATACCCCAGCCCAAGGCTGTGCCGGAGTTGTTCCTTTGTGTCCCATACCTGCTCGCTCGCATGCTCCTCCGCCCCGGAGTTCGCTTATGACTCATTCTAGAACTCCGTGAACCCTTACCCGCACCATCTTCAGTCCGGCACTGATTCCGCAACCCAGACTTGTTGGCCCTAGTCTCAGACACTCCATGTCTGGTCCTAACTCTCCTCCTATCGGGCTTCCGCCTGCAATGGCTCGATAGTGTAGTGGAAACGCACTCTGTATCCTTTCACCCCAGTGTTTGACTTATGGAAAGTCCGGAGTTCGATCCTCCATCGAGCCCTTTTCCCGTGCTACCCACCTTTTTTGATTACCCGGAGTCCTCGTTCCATCCTTTCAGGCCGTTTGGTATTCGCGACTCGATGGCGTAACTGTAACGCATCCTGCCATGGTTCTTGCACAAGCGCGTCTTTTGCAGGAAGTCCGGAGTTCAATCCTCTGTCGAGCCATCCCTCTTTTCCATTCCTTTTTCGTGTGCCTCTTACCGGACCTTCGCATCGCTCGCACACATGGTCCGGTGGCGTAGTGGTAACACACTCTGTTCACGTAGCTGGCGGGAAACTGAAATCATGGAGGGACCGGAGTTCGAATCTCCGACGGGCCTTTATGTTCTTTTTGTCCGTCGAGTAAGAAGATAGGGCGCGTTTTTGAACGGTTCAGTGGCGTAATGGTAACGCACTCCGCATTCCTATGTAGTTCGCGGTATGCTTCACGGAAAGTTCGGAGTTCGATTCTCCGCTGAGCCATTATGAAGAAAACCCTTCTTTTTTCATGGCGATAGTTTTGGCTGGTCTTTCGATTCCTATGGCTTGGTGGCGTAATGGTAACGCACTCCGTGATGATCTAATGCATTTTTTATCGATTAACGGAAAGTCCGGAGTTTGATTCTCTGTCGAGCCATTCCGACGGAAACCCTTCTTTTTATGGTGATCGTCTTGGCTGGTCATTTGACTCCTACGGCTTGATGGCATAATGGTAATGCACTCCGTAAATATGCACATTTTTATATTGATTGACGGAAAGTCCGGAGTTCAATTCTCCGTCAAGCCGTTTGATGGAAACCCTTCTTTTTGCAGCGATCGTCTCGGCCACTCGTACGGCTTGTTGGCATTGTGGTAACATGCTCCGTAGCGATATGTAACGTTCACGGAAGGTCCGAAGTTCGATTCTTCATCAAGCCCTTTGACGATAACCATTCCTTTTCCCGGTCTTATTGGTATTTTTGGTAGTCCGGTCATGGCTTGGTGGCATAATGGTAATGCGCTCCGTGTACCTAACGTTCTCATATCGGTTGATGGAAGGTTCAGAGTTCGATTCTCTGTCAAGCCATGTTGGGTCGGGATATGATTTTTAACTCGTGGTCCTTGGTGGTCTTGAGTTTGACTTTTTGAGTGGCTTGGTAGCGTAGTGGCTAACGCACTCCGTGTTACTGATTTTATATATTGGTTGACGGAAAGTCCGGGAAGCCATGGATTGGGTCCAGATAACATTTTTAACTCAGAGTCAGTCCTTGGTGGTCTTGAGTTCGATTCTCGAATGGCTTGTTGGCGTAATGGCAACGCGTGTACCTATAGCATTCATATATTGGTTGATGGAAGGTTCGGAGTTCGATTCTCCGTCAAGCCACTAGTTGGGTCCGGATATCATTTTTACGTTGATGGCTTAAGGCATTGTTCTCGGAGTTCGGTGTTTTGAGGTTATGTCGGGAGCTATCACAATGTGATGGCTCACAACGCACTGTAATAGATAAACATACCAATTACAATCTTCTTGAGCCTGTTATTGCATCACCCCCTCCGCCTCCAAAGCCTCGATTGCGTGAACGCCTGCAAAAGACAAAGGCGGACCACAAGCTGCTGGCTGAGGAGCTACGCACAGTGTGTGCTACACGCTTACAAACCTTGACAGATGCAAACCTGTTCGAGACAGTGTGCGAAGTGAACGTGATCGCAGCCATACGCGAACGTATCGAAATACTTGTGGAGGTCGAACATCAACAACAAATAGACGAAAGCCTGAAAACAGAATACAAACCAATCTTCGAACCCATTCCGCATGCCGACGACCTACCCTCTGAGGTTCTGTGCGAGATCAAAATAAAGGATGCCATTAAGACACTATCCAGACGCTCATACCAGAGCCCTAGAAAATACAAGGATGCTTGGCAAACCTTGATACAGAAGCACCTCGACGCCGGTCGGATTCAGCCGTCTAATTCGCCCTTCTCCTCGCCGGCCTTCCTCATCCCAAAATCAGATAAGACTGTGCTTCCCCGCTGGGTAAACAATTTTCGAATAATTAATTCAAACCCCGTGCATGACGTCTACCCACTACCCTGTGTCGATGATATTCCCGCAGATTGCGCACGAGGCAAAATATGGTCGACCATCGACTTCACTGATAGCTTCTTTCAAACACGACTTCACCCCAACTCGGTGCCTTACACTGCAGTGAGCACACCACTAGGACTATATGAGTGGCTTGTGATGCCACAAGGGCTGTGAAATGCGCCAGCTGTCCAACAACACCGTGTCACCGCAGCCTTGCGGGAACACATAGGCAAAATCTGCCATGTCTACCTCAATGATATAGTCATCTGGTCACAATCAGTCGAGGAACATACACGACACGTCCGTATAATATTTGACGCACTTAAGAAACATTCACTATATTGCAATGCAAAAAAGACGAACCTTTTCTGCCACGAGATTAACTTCCTCGGACACCACATCTCGGAATGCGGAATTGAACCGGACAAGAGCAAAATTGAACACATCATAAACTGGCCTACACCAAAATCCTCTACGAATGTAAGGGCCTTCCTTGGGCTTGTGCGCTACGTGAGCCAATTTCTCCCAAACCTGGCAGACCACACCGAGGTCCTACACCGACTGACAACAAAAGCTGCTGATAGAAATTTCCCCGAATGGGGAGCAGAACACCAGTATGCCTTGAACAAATCAAGGCCATTGTCACTAGCGCTGATTGCCTAACCACCATCGACCACAAGAATATGGGGTTGAACAAAATTTTTATGACTGCAGATGCCAGTGACAAGCGCTCTGGGGCCGTTCTCTCCTTCGGCGAAACATGGGAGACTGCCCGCCCTGTCGCCTTCAACTCCAGAACCTTTAAAAGTGCAGAACTCAACTACCTGATCCATGAAAAGAACTTCTCGCAATAATACGCGCACTGCGTCAGTGGCGCTCTGACCTCATTGGCCATACAATTCATGTATACACGGACCACCGAACCCTAGAGAACTTCCACTTGCAGCACGAGCTATTGCGCTGCCAGGTGCGTTGGATGGAATTTATGTCCCAGTTCGACACTAAGATTATTTACGTCCAAGGTGAAGCCAACACTGTGGCGGATGCCCTATCTCGGACTGAATTCTCGGACAGCGCGGAGGCAGACCTACACGCATCCCCCCCGTGTGACAACGACTGCGACGCAATCGCCTCTCTTACTTGCCCTGTCGCAAATACGCCGCTCATGGCAGCACACTGCTTGGCGGTGACACACATAAAAGATCCTAAAGACGCACTCTGCACCATCATGTCTGTACACCCGTAGCTGTAGCCTTTAGCCTCATGTCGTGGACCCAGCCAGAATGACATTTGTCTAAATCCCAGCACACAGCCAGGGCCCCACTAGCCCTTTCCACCTCTTACTTTCCGGCACTTATGGGACCTCCTGGGCCTCATTCAGCCGCCGGTGACCTTCTCTTTTTAGATAGCGACCGAAAAATATACCGGCAACCGTCCTTGTCGTTCCCAATCGGGCGAAACCCTCATAAATAACTCCAATGCCATCAAAAACCTACCAAATCCGCGACCTAGCCACTTTCACTGTTGTCGGCGGTTTTCCCCCCACTTTACTGGGTATCCCAGAAAGGAAAAATCGCCAAAATCGCCCCGACAAAGAGGATTCAGAGGGATTTCAAAGGCATTCAGTCTTGCCTATTCTGTAGAGGTCCAATAAGCTAGAATCATTTTTTCTCTGCACACTTCGCGCGCCCACGGTAACTCAGAGGCGGATGTAAGGTATTTATAGCTTAAAGAACACTGAGATCTGGCTATTCTATGGCAGAAATAATCCGAGCTTGGTAAGAGCAATAAGGCCTGACATTACATGTAACCACTGGGAAGTAACAGGAACCAGTGTCCCAGATTCAGTTGAGATCTGGGGCAATTATTGTGCCAACGGGATTGAAGCCTACGAGGGCCTGCAGAGCGGCAAAAAAATTGGGAATTTCTTGGGGATGCCAAATTACCCCATATCTAGCTTTGGGAGCGGTCAATACTCTAGGGGGCGGGGCAAACGAGGCAGAACAGAGGGGAATGCAGGTGGGTTCGGGATGTTCCCGGTCGTGACTGATGTGACATGGTAGATAACATGTCACAATGTTACCTGCCGGCTCGCAATTTCGACAGTTCTAAGCATCGGAAATATCATCTGTGCATACAGGATACATCATATGTGCTTCAGACTGTCCCCCGAATATTTTGGAGATTTTAGGAGAGGTAAATCTACCACAATTGGCCGGTGACAGATAACATGGCAGATAACAACCCAGCACAGCCGGCGGTAAACCGCTTGACGCGCCTTGATGTGCGCCTGTCGGGCGGAGCCCACCGGCCCGTCTGATGTCCCGCGCCACCCGCGCTCCTTGGGTCTTCTCTTAATAATGGTGACAGGCAACGGAAAGGGTTTTGACAGTGCTTACATAATGCGCCCAAACACGGAAATCATGGCAGATTCAGTCAGTCCATCCTGCAGCATTAACCAGTGACCTTTTGGCCAAACTTTGAGTGGAAGATGATCTTAGTTTTACATTTTACAGAGGATGTCCCGGCCCAATTTTTGATTTTGGACCTGCAAAATCTTCCGAGTTTTCAGATCATTTACAATAAAGTTTCGGGAGAGAAAATGGGAAATCTGGCCGGGACATCCTCTGTAAACGAATTTCGCAAGTGTGCTGCAATTTATTTTATGGCAAACGATTCAGTATTGCTTGCGCTATGATGGACCAAAGGATCGCCCTGCCAAATAGCGGATCGGCGATGTACGTAAACTCATCAAACACGTCCATCCAGCGCCCTCCATCCCGTATGCCCGCGTCTTCGATGCCGCTCGATTCACAGATCCTGGGATGCTGAAGGAGATACTCGTTCCCCAGCTCGACCTTCAGCTCAAATGGCATCGACTCCGGGAGTTTGAAATGGACAAGAGGACCAAAATTCCGCTGTTGTCCAGGCTCAAGAAACAACAGAAGGCCGAGCTCATTGTGGCCGCTGTAGTGCGTTGGAAGCGTCGAGTGGATGCTGGAGAGGTACCTCTGATGGGTTTTCAAAGTTCCGAGCCAGTGGAAGAAGATAGAGTTATTGTCGAGCCCGACAACGAGGAGGATGACGCCGGTTATGGAGACCGAGAATAATTCATAATTTCTATGACTTTCTAATCATTTAAAGGCATAAAATAATTGTAGATACCTTCCTATCCATATACATGATACTTTTGGAGACTCAGATCGGCCGTGCAGGGACTTGAGTGAGTGTGGTAAACGCGAAAGGTGGATTTGCCATCGAAATCAGCCGCTTGGCGGGCGGTGCAAACAAGTGCAAATGGACATTTGATGCCTGCCATTTGCCTGTCACCACTTAATAATGTTCTGACGTATTGGAAGGTCAAACTTCCCTGTCAGCTGTCAACAGGCCAGTGGCAGTTGGAATATTGTACTATGGACTCTTCTCATTACTTAGATATTTAGGACATCCCAGGCAGTTACTACGTAAATTTAGGCTCTAAATTTACGATAATGCATCGTGATGTCTTAACAAGAGTACCAAAGCTCCCTCTATCAAGAATTTGAAAAAGACTAGTATTTTCCTTTATTTACCTAGCTTTCGCGTCTCGCATCGATCACCTGACGCAAGTACAAACAAAGACCTCTTGGACTAGAACCACTCCATTAGTTTCGACGCTACGACACTTGCCCCTCTTACGCATTCTCATTCATTTCCGCGCTGCTTTCTTGGGTCCCCTCTCTGCGCTTGCAAATGCCACCAAAACTCGGTGTGAGAGAGAGAATGATCAAACAGTATATGGAGATGGCAGGGCAGAATGAAAAACAGGCGTGGACCTTCCCGTCTCCATTCATTGCGTATGCCGCCAATGTCTCAGGCTCCAGGGGGGAGATCTGCTGGGGCCCCGAGCCGCGAACTGTACGCCGCTTCAAGCTACTTTCATGATCATACGACATTTTCTCATGCTGCGCACAGCTAGCAGAGCTGCGGATGTATCAGTTATCGTGGGCTATTCGTAGCAAACCCGACTGGCAACGCAAAATGCGTGATCCCGTAATTATGGACAAGTGGCGCAAGGAAGCCCTCGAACAACAAGAACGTTTGCCTGTCGAAGATAAGTTGACAACCAATATGGTGAGATCCAAAGTTCTGTATGAAATCCAATCTCAATCCATTATCAGGTCAACTACGTCTTGTCTGAGCTAGCAGCATATGTTAGGCTTGCGGATCCGAACTCCGGAATCGAGGTGCAGAGAATTGCTCTCATTAAACACATTCACTTATCCAGGTTGGATTCTACAGAGTGGTCCTTTTGAT